GTATGTATGCTCTGATGGAGATGATATTGACCAATGATGATGGAGGTAGTGTCTCGTCATCAATCGAATGTTGGTGGTCAGATGGTGACCGTGGAAACTTCTCCATTAGTAAGGTAATTATAGTCTAGCAATAATAATTGTTATCTAATAATGTTGATCGGGCGATAGTGGTTTGACAATATTAGTTGGAGATGATGATCCAGCAATGGTGTTAATATTGTCATTGGTTAGACCATAATAATGGGGGTCTGGAGGTGTTTTCAGGTGACGATAGCTTGACAATGGTTATGTCAGTAGTGATGGTTGCCCGACATAGTGTGAGTGATAACTTTACCTCTAAAGTACATTAAATCATTGTCTGAAAGGATGGTGGTTTTTGCCAAATGATTATAGACAAGTGATAGAAGTTCTGCATACTGCATTTAGGTGACCGTAAAAGAATGATAGGTGAGTGATCTAACCATTGAATAATGTTATACAAGCAACATTGTGGTTTTCATGTGATAGCGAGATTGAAGGAAATATACCGCAGATTATTCACTAAAATAAGCTTGTTTGTTGCAGTTACTCGACAGCATTAGCTTATGTGGAAGAGTTCAAATGAAACTAATTAAGGATATTTGACATATCCAAGACTGTTTGTGAGAGTGTTAATTAGTAACCTTTAACTGTATGTAAGAGATCAAATCGACTCCTCCGGGGATAAACTTGAAATATTTTATATTTATGAGAAGATTTGAGAGAGATGGTTGTTGTATAAAGAGCGGGGAAATAATCATTATCCCTTAGAGGGAACTCCTTGTAAATTCTTCAGTTTGTTATGAACTGCTCCATAAAGATTCTAGAGAGTAATTGAAGGTGTAAAGAGTTCCTCCCAAGAGAGCATAAAATCAAGTGTGTGATTGGCCTTTGAGAGTGTCCGGAAAACCGTTACAAAGAAGCACATCAGAAGCCTGCTGGATGTCCATGATGGTTCGATAATGGTAAATGTATTCATAATGGTTAAATAAACCATCTTAAGAGTCAATAGTTTAGAGCTTCATGCCTGATGGGATTGGATATTGGAGGACTGTCTTGGTCAAGGTTGAATACTCATAAAAATTATGATGAGCGGGGAAATAATCATTATCCCTTAGAGGGAACTTTTCTCAAACCAGACATCACAACTCATCATGGAATACATCATTGGGGGTGTTAGGCATGGTTAAGACTAGTTTCATGTGAGTGTCTAAGGGTTAACAGTTGGTCGACCTACACGGAATGGATGGTTGGAACTTGAAGGATCAACGAGATGGTCGTCTTGGCCTCTGAAGGAGGAATCCCATTATTATTAAGATGAGACTCAATACGGGTATTCTTGAGTGGGGATTCTCTATATGCTACTGACCTTGTGGCAAGTATGTCCATCGTTTACCGATACTCAAGTAGGAGCTAAAGAATCTCTTATTGAGACTCCTCCATTATGTGCACTTAGTCCTTTAAAGATGAGCCTGGACCGTCTTCGTCGTGAATATTAGACCTTTCGTCGAGGGAAAAAGTAGATGCTTGACATCCTGGCTTCGTGATTATTTTTTCGAGTGTTGGGTATCAGAACGAGATGGTCTGTTGTTAGGAGTATTGAGTTTGTTGGCCATTTCATGAGCTTTATGAGTTCTTTATTACTGGGCTTATCTTTTCCACGTAGTATGCCGAAAACATGTGTGCTTATAAATTCATCGTAGTAGACTACAAAACTTTACCGATAATGAATGGATGAAATTATTGCAAAACTGGGATGTGAATTTCACTAAAACGGTGGCAGAAAATGATGAGGAGCTGGGAGTGCCCTACCTACTATGAAGAAAAGCTGATGGTAGAGGTTGAGTGCCAGAAAGTTTGATGTCAGCGTCGGTCAAAGTAGCAACAACATTGATAGTCGAGCAGTAGAGATATGGAGATAGTGACGGTGGTAGTGCGGAAGCGAGTGGTAATCCGACGTCAATAGAGGTGGATATCAGACAACGATGGTTCGACGAATAAGGTGATCTGATGGTGGTGGTATGGTGGTAGCAATGGTCATTTAATGAAGGTGGTGGTTAGACATCAGTGGTCAGACAGTAGCAGTTTGGCGGTGGTTGCGGTGTTCGAACAACGGTGGTTTGACAATCGTGGCGGCCAAACACAGCAACATTGATAGTCGAGCAGTAGAGGTATGGCAATAGCGACAGTGGTAGTGCGGAAGTGAGTGGTAATCCGACGTCAATAGCGGTGGATATCAGACAACGATGGTTCGACGAAGAAGGTGATCCGATGGTGGTGGTATGGTGGTAGCAATGGTCATTTAATGAAGGTGGTGGTTAGACATCAGTGGTCAGACAGTAGCAGTTTGGCGGTGGTTGCGGTGTTCGAACAACGGTGGTTTGACAATCGTGGCGGCCAAACAGTGGTGACTGGGAAGCGGTGGTCCAACGACAACGACGGCCATATGATGGCGGGTAGGGGGCGACGGAGGGGGGGAAGGGGGATGATGTTGGTAATTCGATGTTGGTTGTCAGGCAACAACGACAACGGTTTAGCATTTTGTACTAAAATTTATGTTATTATTTATTAAAATTATCATAAAAGAAATTACTAATTTGGAAAAAAAATATATAAATATATAAGAAAATTAAGCAGTCAAATATTTTACATCAACTCCTAAAATAATTATATTTAGAAATATTTAGAAAGTAATTAAAATACTTAATTTACTTTATTAAAAAAAAGCACATAATAATATATAAAAAATTAAAAACATAAATATGACAGCCTAGCTGGCGCCCAGCTTTAGTTACCCGGATATTGAGCGGCTTTAACAAGTTAAATAATTTAACAAGCTTTAGTTTATTTTTTTTTGCAAAAATCTTTCTAGTGCTTCTTATAAAAGTTTTCCTAAAAACTATTATTTATAATGGAAAGTGTAGTGACTATAAAATTAGATATACTAAATAATTTGTCATTGTCTCCTTTTTCTCATTAAATTTAACTTACCCAACATATATTCGTACAGATAAATATGTATATAGATTTATATTTTCTTCTTGTTTCTTTTGTGGTTGTCTGAGAATCACGAAAATGTAATATTGGCTTATTAAAGACCCTAAAATTGTAAACTTTCTACAAAATCCTAATAAAACATTCAAGATAATTAAAATTTAGGATTTAAATATTCATGAATTTAAGAAAAATAACATTTTTTATTTCCTGCATATATTAATAAGGTCTCTACAATACTTAATGACCACTATACATAATTGCATTCATATTTGCATGTCTCCAGAAGAAACCCCCGTGTTTTTCCAACCTGACTGACTCAACATACCTTTACATAAGTGGTTGTCTAGTGCGCCTAGGGTATTAGAAAACTTCCCGACCCAGACGGGGTGTAAGTCATTTTGTTTGGATTGTTTCTAGCTTCGTAGTTGAACCTCTCATTCTCTTCTTTCCCGAGACACCGTCACGAATTCAGTAGGTATAAGTCTCATCTCCTGGAGCTTCAGCTTGTAGTCATATAATAAAGTTTCATTTCTTTGACCTTAGGGCTATCGAGATCTCCCGTGGACTACAAAATTCACAGATTGCTGACCGGAGATCTCAGGTCGTGTTGGGTCGACTACCTTCACGACCGGGAAGACTTGGGGTCCTAGTAGCTGTGGATGACGGGTTCGCAGTACCTTGACTCAGTTACCTCTACATTCTAGGATTACTCAACCTTCCTTTCGTTGAGCCCCTTTGAGTTATGTCGCTCCTTGACTTCGTTGATATCATTTTGATAGTCTGATGCTAATGAGCTGCCGCCCATTTGGGATACGACGATTTGTCCTTTGCAGTTATGGCTCTGAGTGCTTTGACTTGCTGGGATATCCCCGTCGAGATGATTTATGTTTATTATGTGGGCTCCGTATGCCAATGTGTTGTTAACCATTCGGGATATGAGAAATTCACTTTCTGCCCAATGACTTAGCGTAAACTTTGAAGTATCAAGACTTTTCTCACTGAATAACCTTCTTTTGAGTGCATATTGCCCCAGATTCATGATAATATAAGCGAAACTCATTTTATCAAGAGTATTCTTGGGTACTCCCCAAGATGAATTAACTAATGGGGATGCGCCCCCTTGGAAGTGCTCTTGACCTCAGAACAGACACTTGCACCCAATTCTCTGGTTTTGTGTAGTTTACGTAGATATTCTTTCATAGATATTGGTTTAAGATGCTTTCGCTGATCCTATTTGGGCGAACATTCTTAACATTTCCTTGTGAGGTTTACCGCACGTAGGTTCTCCATGTTTTTTGTTTGCTCTTGTTTGCCGCACGTAGGTTCTCCATGTTTTTTGTTTGCTCTTGTTTTTCATTTTGTCGTATGTATCTTCTTATTCAGTTCCTCTCCTATTCGAATCACTGATCTGATTCAGGAGACAGATTTATTCGAATGAGGTCGTATACAACGATCGATAAGCTGACAACTCCTTTTAAAATATAAGAGAAAAAAAAAGAACGAAAACAAAACTATAAATAAGCCAACATTCTTCAATTGAAGAGAAAAGAGAGAAAATGTAATGAGTTGACTACTAAAATTTAACTATTGTAGTCTCGAGATTATCGTCGGCAGCCGAAGTTTATTGTCAACCATCAAAATTCACCATTGACGACCAAAGTTCACCATCGGACATCAAAGATCACTGTCTTCTGCCAGTAGTAATTTGTTATGACCAATTATAGTCATTTCAGTAAACAACTTTTAACTTTTATAGTCAATTACTATTATTGTGATCACCAGCATCATCTTGTAATTATATTTTCTCTAATACAAAAGAAAGATGGATTTATATACTCCTAAATTTTTGATGAATTACTTTGATTAGTCAAAACAAAATATGAATCTCTGTAATATCAATGTTTTAATACTTTTATATGGGCCAGATGCCATGATTTTTCTTCTCTATGATTTTCCAGGTAAAAAATTTTGATCTCCTGCCACAACTATGTTTTTATCCATGTGCCTTCGAATAGCTCCAAGACATTCAATAATCACTCTCTGAATTTTCTTAAGTTTGGGTGACTCCTCTTCCTCTTCCACTCATTTGTGGTTAGTATTTTTTCCAAACATAAGATGACTCATTAGTTTAATGTAAGATTGGAGAAACGCCGACTACATAAGCCCGTCATCAAACCATGCCACCACAAATTTCTACACCCAATCGAACACCATCGCCTCCTCCACCAGAGATGCAAGCTCCTCCCGTTCAGCCAAGATGGGTCATTGCCCTCAAGCAAATCGTATTTGAGCTCCGTCAGCAACGGGGCATCGCCGCACCGCTTACAATCATGAACCTGACGTGGTTCGCAAAGTTGACCATCACCACCATCTTTCTCGCCCGACTCGGTGACCTCCAGCTTGCCGGCGGCGCGCTCGGCTTTACCTTTGCCAATGTCACAGGTTTCTCTGTGCTGAGCGGCCTCTGCGGCGCCATGGAGCCCATATGTGGCCAGGCACACGGTGCCAGAAATCGTGGACTCCTTCGCAAGACCCTTCTCATGTCCATTACCCTCTTGCTTTCTGCCTCTATCCCAATCTCTTTTCTTTGGCTCAATATGGACACGATCCTTCTCCGTTTCGGCCAGCAGAAGGAGATTGCAAGCATAGGGAAGAAGTACGCGCTGTTCCTTCTCCCTGACCTGGCTGTAACCTCATTCCTCAGTCCCCTGAAAGCCTATTTAAATTCACAAGGCGCTACGCTCCCCGCTCTGTTTACCTCAGCCACAGCGTTGGTTCTGCACTTGCCACTCAACATTTTCCTCTCCAAACTCAAAGGACTCGAGGGCGTGGCGATGGCCGTCTGGCTAACTGACCTTTTCGTCGCCATCATGCTCGCTTTATACGTTTTCATTATTGAGATAAAAGACAAGAGCAGACAGGACATCCCGGCTTGGTGGTGGAAGCAGAGCATGGTGGAGTGGGCTCGGCTTCTGCGGTTGGCGGTGCCGTGCTGCCTGAACACATGCTTGGAATGGTGGTGCTATGAAATCCTTGTCCTGCTCACGGGGAATCTTCCAGACTCCAAGCGGATGGTCTCCGTCATCACTATCGTGCTTAACTTCGACTACTTGCTCTTCTCCGTCATGCTGTCACTTGCCACTGCGGCGTCCGTGAGGGTGTCGAACGAGCTTGGCGCCGGCCGCACCAGGGCGGCACGTACGTCGGCGCACGTGTCAATGGGCATGGGCGCGCTCGGCGGGCTAGTAAGCGCGGCGGCGATGGCTGGAGCCAGAGGATGGTGGGGAGTGCTGTTTAGCAAAGACAGGGAAATCGTGACGCGCGTAAAGAAAACGATGCTGATTATGGCGGTGGTGGAAGTTGTGAACTTTCCACTTGCGGTGAGTGGTGGAATTGTGCGCGGCACGGCGCGGCCGTTGCTTGGCATGTACGCGAGCGTCGGGGGGTTTTACCTGGTGGCGCTACCGCTTGCGGTGCTTCTGGGTTTTAAGACGGGGCTGGGCTTATCGGGGATGCTGTTGGGGTTTCTCGTAGGCGGCGCAACTGGCGGCGTGCTGTTGCTGGGGTTTTTAGCTTGTATTGACTGGGAAAGGGAGGTGGAAAAGGCTCAAAGATTAACAGCTGTTAGCTTGAACAGAGGAGATGAGCTAAATGGCTGCGAAGGTGGAAGTGACACAGGAGACATGATTGTTTGACGATTACTAATTAAAAAGTTCTTTAATTTAAACAAATTGTGGTGGTATATGTATATTTATATATTGGGCAGTGCTCCATTATCATCTGCAGAAGAGCTTTCGTTTGCAATTCTTTTCAATATGATAACGGCATTAATTTGTTCTTTCTCATGGTGCGATTACATAAGGAAATAAGATAGAATAAATTGTGCTTTCACTTTAGTTTAGGAGGTGCGTTCGGATGCTCTTCTATGTTCATGCCTCCTTAAGTTAATATCACGTGGGAAGAAAAATTCGCCAGTATAAAATTTGCTTCTGTATTGGCCGGCCCCAGCAAGTGTAATTATTTTATTACCGTGAGGGTTTTTTTTTACTGCATGTGATTTCCTTATTCTCATCTGTCAAGCTAGGGTTTTGACGCACGGAGATGAATTTTGCACAAAGAGTGATCCTCAGTCTTCGGTTTCATCCCTTTAGCTTCTAGTTCGAGCAAATAGGCTTGCAAGACGTGAAAACTTTAAAGCTGGTAGTCGTTTTCGACACAATTACTTCAATCAGTCGAGACTTTTCGTCGATAGTGCATTGAGATAGTCATTATCAACAACCAGAAAATCAATTAAAATGTAAGGTATTAAAGTATAAAAAAAAATTTTAACCTAGGAGCAACTTCTATTACAGAAAAATGTACAACACTTAATATTTGAGAGAAATCCAATGTAATATTCCAAGTTATGTTTAAAATGAATGATTTTCATTTGGGAATTTTGATTTTGGAGGAAATTATTTTGTATATTGTGTTGTCTCTTGTTTTCGTTACATTAAAGCAGAAGATTTTTAATTTTAAATGGTGTGTTTAAAAAAAGTCCTCAAGTGAAAAACTTATTAAATATTATAACAATGTTGACATATTATATTTCATAAATTTTTCTGATGTGCATTGAGTTTTGTTATGGCAAAGAATTTTTTTATTGCATAATTTGACTTGTATTGTACTTTTCATGAAGAAATATATCAACTTTCTTCTGAACATTTTCTTTTAAGAAAAAAAAATTAGCATTTTACATGTTGTGTATAGACTGTGCACTGAAGTAAAGTGATTGCATATGGTTATGAGATGGTTGATACATGCTAACTTTAAAAAGTTATGTTTGGTCTCTTCATTAATATATTTGATGCGTACTAGAAAATTCGTGGCGGTAGAGTAGCGGATTATTGTCTTAGCGTTATATGAAAGTTCAACACACATACAGATGAAAGAAAAACAAATGGTGATGATTCTATAATTTTTTACGTGGTAAACCCGTAAGGGGAAAATCATGGGACCTAACCCAGTTACGGAAATCCACTATTGATTGATGATTATAGAAATCTTTTTTACCACAGAAGGAAAGGGTAAATATATTTTTCAGATTATAACGTCGCTGACGGCGTCTAGTTGGTGGTGATCGATGGTGGTTAGTGGTGATCGATGACGGTTAGCGGAGGTTGACGACGGTTGGCGGGGGTCGACAACGATCAGTCGAGGTCAACGGCGGTCGACGATGTTTGACAACGGAGGTCGGCGGTGGTGTTGAGCTGCAACTTCTTCTTAATGTCTCCGACTCTCTCTCTAGAATCCAACTCCCCCTCATGTGAGGGGTGGGGGTCTATTTATAGTATTCTGTGTGCAATTAATACAAGAATATCAACTATTTTGATCGGACGGTCCAGAGAGTTCCCTCGATCATGCGGCGTTTAATGGACGTTTGAGTGCCTTAACGATATCAGAACTGAGTGATATTAGGCTCGTTGGATTCGTCTTTTCGAGATGCTCAATTCAAGTATAAGCTTGCTAGTGTCGACTTCTGTTTGACCTTCCAAATGTGTCTGAAAATCTTCTAATATTGGTTTAATGACTTGATATGGGCTGATTTGACTCAAATTGGAATAGCTTTTATATCATTAGGTTCGTCTCATCGAGCCGGTCAGTTGGACTATAAGTTTGCTGAAATCCGAGCTCTGGATGAATTTTTATCAATATTTGAATGTTTCTTACTCAAAATATCATCTCAGGATCTGTGTCATATTTCGAGATTTGTGTCAGATGATAAAAAATTATTGGTAACATATCAATATTATATATATGAAAGATAACATCAAATTTATGATTAAATCTTGCGAATTTGTTTCCATTGGTTGTTTGCTGAGAAACTGTATATCGGGCATCATAAAGTAGCAAAAGTTATCACTATGAAATTTTGTGTCGACAATCTTAAGAAAAAGTGTGATTAAAATGAGTAAATTATCCTATTACATGTTGTGTATGGACTGAAGCGGATGCATGATTTAAAACTCCGAGAAATCTGCAAAATGTTAATTACGCAATATTAGTTGAGGTTTATTCATGAATTGATAAGATTAGAGATGTAATTTATCAATTTCCGTCACCTGTATTGTGTGCTTACTGAAGTGGATAGCGAATAAGTGCATTATGTTATTTATATTGTGCTATTCGTGAAAAGTTGACCACCTATGTTCAGAAAATTTATATCGAACTGTGAAATATTAGCATTTTTCATGTTGCGTATGAACTATACACTTCACTTGAGTCATTATTTAGTGGTATCCAATGGCTGATATTTGCTAAATTTGAATACTTATGTTGATTTTCTTCACTAGAGGGAAATTTCTCCTTTGTAGTCTTTTCCACTCCTCGTCAGTGGCATGATCTACGCTCACCGCATAACCTTTTATGATGTTTAATCCTCAATTGTCCTTTGTGAACAAACACCGAGTATTAGACCAGACAAAAGGAGGAAAGAGAAAGAGAGAGTAGAATAAGTTCAAAATTCACTGTAGAGAGAATGGGGAGAGATTCATTTTTTTCGTATTTTTGTCCTCTATTTATAGGGGCGTGTTTTGTACAATTATAAAAAAATGAAATAATTATGGAAACCAACCTGAATACAACTGATGCTCTTATTAATCGTATGGATTTCATATCATATATGTGCTACAATTTGAATTATAACATGACAGTAATTGGTTGGCTGATTTTCTTAAATTCCGCCGACTGTGGTAACCGGTTGAGTGGCGACCTCGCCTTGTGTTCATCGGTTGAGGCGCCCGGTCGAGTGGTGATCTCATCAATCGTGGTAAAAGTGGGTCGACCGATTAGCCGCGAACAAGGGTTCCGACCTACACTCTTGTCGACCTGGACTGCAAATGTGGTCTGTCATTCGGATCACTCATCATAGTGTGTGGGTCGATTGTTGATCACGTGGTTGGTTGTAAGACGATAAGACGCCTTGATCGTCTGGTCTTAGTCTGTTGTTCGGTGTCGACAACTTTCGTGTATACATGATATAATCTTTTTTGCATGAAAATAGTAAGAAAAACATTTAAAAATAATAGCTCAATTTTAAATAGAGATAAAAAAAACCGATAAATGACACAAAATTGTTCTCATTTTCTAATTCTTTTTAAATGTCATGTATTATTTCTCCTAGTTATTTTTATAATATGGATTAGTTGATTATCTCGTTGTCTTCACACAGCCACATCTATAATCTAGTACAATTTTACGCAGTAAAATTAAACATTGCTTGTACAATTGTAAATTAATGGTATTGACATGGGCAAGTGAGAACTGTTTTTCATCCGTTCACGTTAATATTTTAAGTTGAATTTCATGAATTTTTCTTCGACTCAATGCCGCATTTGAATTAAAAAAGGGTCTTGCATTAATTTTATTATAATAAAAATATTAAGAATTCGTATTCCCTGAATGGAATTAAAATTATTGATTCTTCGCAGTTGGTGCGATGGTATTGATACACGTATGTACTTCTTAGATCCGTGGAAATAATTTCTTTCTATCAGCAAATTACTTTAATTTTTAGAGGCATATACGTAGGGCTGTCAAAACGGCCCATTATTGGTGAACAGCTCGTGTTCTGCTCGTTTGCTAAGTTAACTAGCTTAACACGAACAACGCAAATAAAAATTTGTTCGTTCGTGTTCGGCTCGTTTTGGCTCGAAATACTACTAATCAATTATATATTGTTAGATATGGCTCATATACCATAAAGGGACAGATTCTGGAGCAGAGCAGAGCGGAGCAGAGCAGAAGATTCTATCCAAATCAGAGGAGTTTTCTTATGTGGGTTGGGGGTGAGGTACATGTAGGGGTGTAAACGAACCGAACACGAACGAACAAAGCTTGTGTTCGTGTTCGGTTCGTTTAAAATTTAGTTTGTTTGAAATA